AAATCATATTCACTATGTACATGCAATAATTTTCAACAAGTCAAACAAAAAAAAAATAGAGTCAAGAAAAGAATATGATACCAAATGGGAGGCTTAAACTTGTTATCGCGTCGAATCTTCAAAGATGAGGATATATTAGGTGCTTTTTGGCTACCTTTCACACTACACAAATGCCTCACAGATCTCAAGAAATACAAAGAGAGAAGAAGAGAGAGAAATTTCGAGCTATAAGGAGTTCTCAATGAAAAAAAAAATTCCCTTTTTTCGCCGTCCCGAGAACAATGCCTGAGTCTATTATTTATAGATATCAGACCTGACCAGAATGGCTTGTTCTGGATTCGGAACAACCTATTCTAGATCATCCACTAATGAGCTAAATATGAAACTGGAACAGCCCGTTCTAAAATCGGAACGACCCGTTCTAAAATCGAAACGGCCCGTTCCAGATTAAAATTTTAGGTCTTTTTTGTAACCTGAAACGACCCGTTTTAAAGGCAGAACGACCCGTTCTCAATTAGGGTTTGATGGAGGACCATCCTTGGTACTTCATGTGAGACCCATTAGATGGTTCTTGGCTAGGAGAATGGAGCTATCCCTGCCCTGCTCCCATACCAACGTACGATCATCGCAGTCCAAACCACATGGAAACACACAAGGGTAAGCTAGAGATAATAAACACAGCTCATAAATATCAAATAAGAAGCACAACTATATAATCATCTTCACATCCGACACAAAAGATAAACAACACATATATTACGCATCTTTTAACAACACATGTTTAAAAAAACTTACAACATAACAACACTATCATCATCCTCAACAGGAGGGTTTGATGGAGGACCATCCTTGGTACTTCATGTGAGACCCATTAGATGGTTCTTGGCTAGGAGAATGGAGAGATACCATGTATGGATCCATCTCCTAGGCCCAATTTGAGTAGTATAGAATTTTATTACTTTATTCCAATTTTACCCTTGTACTTTGGGGTATTTTAGTCATAGAATTTATTTTACTTGTATTTCCAATTTTACCCTTGTATTTTGGGGTATCTTAGTCATAGGATTTATTTTCTTTTGTATTTCCCATTTTACCCTTGTATTATGGGGTGTTTTAGATGATTAGGGTTTTAATTTTGGGCTAGGGTTTAACATTAGGAGGTGACGCATTTTTTGGTGTTATTGGACCTATTTTTGGTGTTAGAAAGGCTTAGGCCCAAGTGGAGGGCAAAGGTTGCATGGTCTTATCATGCACCTAGATATAGCCAATCTAAACCCAAAGATTCCATCCTTGGCCACCAAGTTGCATCTAGGGTTAATTTGTATTTCATTTGGAGTGCATTTGCCTTGTGAATTTCAACCATGCATGCTCCAAATGCAACCCTAGATGCCTCCCACTCCTATAAATACCCAATGCACCACACCTTGTAAATACTTTGGATTATATGATATTGAGTGAGCATTTTTGCCTCAACATCTCTTCCTTAGTCACTAGTTTACCTTTGGCTAACCTTCTCCTATCTCCACCATTGGAGAGTGAGAAACCTAGAGTGGCCTCCACTTACCTTTGGAGTGAGCCAACCTTTGAGCACCCAAAACACTTCCGCCACCCTTCATCATTTCACCTCTACTTTCACGTCCAAAACAACCCCACCTTAAACACCCCCAATCTTTTCCCTTTGGTGAACCTAGATCAAGGGCAAGGTGACCCTCTTCAAGAAGCCATTGTCAACCATGGAAGGGAGGTCTCCATCAGGGTTTTAGGTCTTTTTAGTGACCAGGAATGGCCCGTTCCAATTTAGAAACAACCCATTTTGACTTTAGAACGACCCGTTCCGATTGCAAATGTTATTATTGAAAACAATGTGAAAACCAAGTTTGTCTATGATCGAAGCCGTATCCGGTCAAATAAATACAATTAAATGTAGTACTAGAAAGTGACTCCTAGGTCGTCTCCCAAGGACCGTCTTTTACTGTTAAAGGCTTAAACACACGAAGTGGGGGGGTTTGGTTCAGATTTTCAGTTTGTAACACAATAACACGAAATAACACAACAAGTAAGATAGATTGGCTCCTTGTTCGGATTGTAACTCTTTTATCCCTGGTTCTCAAAGATTTCTTTGTTCATAACTTAATCCTTGTTCCATCCGAGTTAACCAACTAAGCAAAGATTAACTCAAGATCATCACATGGTTCATGGCTAGGAGAATGGAGAGATACCATGTATGGATCCATCTCCTAGGCCCAATTTGAGTAGTATAGAATTTTATTACTTTATTCCAATTTTACCCTTGTACTTTGGGGTATTTTAGTCATAGAATTTATTTTACTTGTATTTCCAATTTTACCCTTGTATTTTGGGGTATCTTAGTCATAGGATTTATTTTCTTTTGTATTTCCCATTTTTCCCTTGTATTATGTGGTGTTTTAGATGATTAGGGTTTTAATTTTGGGCTAGGGTTTAACATTAGGAGGTGACACATTTTTTGGTGTTCTTGGACCTATTTTTGGTGTTAGAAAGGCTTAGGCCCAAGTGGAGGGAAAAGGTTGCATGGTCTTATCATGCACCTAGATATAGCCAATCTAAACCTAAAGATTCCATCCTTGGCCACCAAGTTGCATCTAGGGTTAATTTGTATTTCATTTGGAGTGCATTTGCCTTGTGAATTTCAACCATGCATGCTCCAAATGCAACCCTAGATGGCGGAATTTCCTTTCCGAAGCTTAACCCGAAACTTCAATCCACCTAAAGCAAGCTTCCTAGTCCAGAGTCCTTCTCTCTAAAACTTCTCTCTAAAAACCTCCTCTTCTCCTCAACCACCCAACTCTATTTATAGAAGTTTAGGAGTGGCCAGAACAGCTTGTTCCGAATCCGGAACGACCCATTCTGCACCCTTTCGTCATGTGTAAAAATCACATGCAGAACGGCCCGTTCTGAAATCAGAACGACTCGTTCTCCACCCAGAACGGCCCGTTTTGGGGTTTGGAATGGTCCGTTCTCCCTCCAGAACGGCCCGTTCTCAACCACGATTTACAGGTCAATTTAATAGCTTGGAACGGCCTGTTCCGGATTGGGAACGGCCCGTTCTAGGCTACTAAATCACCTATATTGGGCTTTCTAAAACAACTTGCTACGTTACAGTTACCTTTTTTCCATTCCTTTTTCTTTCCTTATTGCTAGGTCTAAAATTTGTTCATTCTCACTGATATTTTAATATTTTTGTTATTATTTTAGTTTTTGTAATACACATAAATATTTATTATATATAATTAAAATTTATAATAAAAATTTAAATATATTTTTAATCTTTTATATTTAAGGCAAATTTATTTTTTGTCTTTCAAATTTAAAAATTAATCTTTTAGTTCTAGTAATTTCAAAAATCTTGTTTTGGTTCTTTTACTTAATTAAATTTTGTTAATTTTTTTTTAAATACAGTGACATAAAATTTATCTATCGTTGTCCCTGTTCATGAAAACATCACATTAAACTCAATTGTTGGTACATAATTATCTCTTATCACTTTTAGATATATTATTAGTGACCTTAAGAGACTAAAATAATATTTTTGAAAATTACAGGGATTAAAAAAAATTTTAAATTTGAGAGATTAAAAATAGATTTACCATAAATTTGAAGAACTAAAAATGTATTTATGTCTATAATAAATTATATATAAATAGATATTTTTAAAGATATAAATTATATTTTAGATTTATGATAAATAATTTATATTATAACAAAAATATTGATAAATAAAAGTTGAATTAAATAAAAAGTTAAAAGAATTCTTACAAATTTTCTAGTAGAAGAAAAATCCTTAAAAATATTCCACAATAACGGTTCAAGTTTAATATATAGAAGTTAATTTTTAAAACTATAAATATTGCTTATGATTGAAAATTCTCGTGACAAAACCCTCCTCCAAAAAAGAATGATAAGTTTCATACAAATAACTTGGGTCAGTATTAGTCTTGTAAAAAATTAATTATTAATGAATTTTCCATCATAAAACATTATCAATTCAATAAATTTCATATAATAAAAGAATTTGGTCAAAAAACATTGTCAATTCAATAAATTTTATATAATGAAAGAATTTGGTCAATAGAGTAGAGCATATTAGAGAATGAATTGCTAATCTTTAATTAGGGGATGTTTAATGGTCCATCTTTTCTTATATCCATTGATTAACTAGGTTAGCCATCTAAGGCCGAACAATCTATAAAGGATCTATTTAGATTATGTTAGTTTCTGGATTCTAACTCTAGAGAGACATTTAGGACAATTCAATGTAACTAGATTAATAATTTTTTGTAATCTATAAAATATAATTCAACTCAAAATCCACTAAAACCATCATCCATTTTACTCCCTCCCTATTTTATTTGCTGCCAACCTTATTTTCATGGAGCAACTCCTCGAATATTAATTTGAATTATCAAATAACAACTGCATGTTACGTTTCAATGACAAAATTATATTCACAAGTTAAAATAATAAAAAAGATTAAATTATATTTTTATCCCTCTATAATATTAAATATGTAATTTCAAACCCTCTATTTTTAAATCCACAATTTTAATCCCTCGATAGATATTCATCCATTGATTATTAAAACTATAACATTCATTGGCATAACACTCTAGATAATGCAATAATTAATACTTAATAAATCTTATAAATTACACTTCTACTTCTCATTTATATCCTATTTGCCATTTTTTTTAGAAAAAAAAATGAGAACTAAAATTAAAATTTAACCAACATTATAATTTTAATATTTGACAAATAAACATTCACCGAAAAGACTAGAATTAAGAATTTTATAAAATTGAGAAAATTACGAATTTAAAAAGAGATTAAAATTGTGAATTTAATACTATAAAGGGACCAAAATTGTAATTTATTCTAAAAAAATACTAACACAATCTAACATTTTCCTTCTGACAATCACAAATTTTAATAAATCTTACCATTAAGTCATAAGAGACTCGATAAATACAATGTACGACTCATAAAATTTATAATTCCAATTTTAACCAATATAGAGAAGATCGCTAATTGTCCTCAAATAATAAAGTACCAAAACATAACAATGTGTTTTAAGGTTCAGAAGAGCCTACCATTGGAAGAAGCTTATTACAACTGTTTGACAGATAATCTGTTGCAGACTAACATAAGAGGAGGAAAAACATGCACGAAGAATTACATTGAGCACAGGTTGTTTGTTCGGTTCTTTACAGTTAAACCATGTGGGGTACCATGACTCCATGCATCTTCACCACCCAGTAAATACATAAATTGAGATAGAATAGTCCTATTGTCTTTTGTACCATACCTCATTGTCACTATTCACAAGCCAGTTTTGTGTCAAAGCTAGTCAAGCAAATGGCAAAGGCCTGAAATGCAGATAGGGGATATCTATAGTCCATAGTAAATATATCCTTGCCGACCTTACCAAACTGAAGAATGATCTTGTCATGATCGGACTGCGCCGGCTGGGATGATGGCACAGGAGCACCGGCTCCAGCTGCAGGCTGCGTTGAAGCAATCAGCTGGAAATTCTTGACAGAGGCAACAGTCACTCTCCCCCTAAAGTTGAGGCACCAACACTGCAGCTGCTCATGCCATCTTGGAGCTTTGTTCTTGAGAACCAAGGGCCTGTCCTTTCCCTGCTCCTCTTCGCTGCCGGCCATGACTATGTCTGAGAACCTAGAGCTGCTGAACTCAGTTGAGTTGTCGATTGACCTAGCAAAGGATATGCTTCGGAAGGAATCTTCAAGGGAGCGGGGAAGGAGCTCTGGCTTGCCTGGAACAGTGCCGCCAGGCTCGAGGGATGATATGGGGATTGAGTGCATGGTGCAGTTCATCCTGCGCGGGCCCCTAGTACCGAGGACATTCAGCTCATAGGTGATCTGGGCAATATTGTAGCTGCCACTAGGGACCTTTGGAGAAACCTTTTTTGAATTAAACCTACGGCTTCGGCCAGGAGGAGACAGCTGAGAGTTGTTATAGGGAGGCTGTGTATCATAAATTATGAACTTGGTGCCAAGAAAATTTGACCTGAAATGAGGGGAAATTGGCAAAGTATGAGTTCATATTGCCAAAAAAATACAGAAACAGTGATCATAAATGCAATCAAGAGGCCTTAGAAAACAATAAATGTATACTTGACATACCAACATTGTTAAAGTTAGATGCTGCTACTTAGTTCTAGTAATTCGTAAACAAAATACCATCTTAGACTTATTGTTGGAGCTGCATACAAGTTTTGAGATCATAGAGGAGATGCAAACATGGCACAATTGGATAAATTAAAATAAATACCAAGCAGTCATTGAAGAGCTATGGACATGCAAAGACATCAATAGATTTTCAATACCAGTGTTAAATGATCTATGGAAAGCACTAAATCCAATCACCATCAAGACCAACGACCATATTGAAAGTTGATCCACAAGAATTAACTCTTCAGAAAAATATGTTAAACCATTTAGTTCTTTTTCACGTCATTGAAAACTATCATTAAAAAAAAAGACCATATTGAAAGTAAATTCAACAAGAATAAACTTTTTAGAAAAATGATAAACCATTTAGTTATTTTTCATGTCATTTAAAATTATTATTAGTCAAAAACTGTGATTGATCACACAATGCATGCTGTGAGCAACTATAATCCCAAAAGAATATACCTCAGTTTTCCAATGTAAGTGCTACTAGATCTAGATATGTTATCCGCATCCATTGATATAATATACTCAGTGCATGTTGTTCTTCTCGTCCGTTTTGCAGAAAGAAGAAACTTTCCATTTTCAACTAGCAATGCTGCACGAAGAGCTATGAATTCAGAACATGTCCCAGAGACACAATGACAACAAAGTCCAAAACTTGATACACAGAACATGGATTCAGCACAAAGTCTTAATTTAGTTAAAAAGGATGATAAAACAGCTTGTAAACAGGAAAGGAAGTAACAAGTGGATTCATCTCCGATTCCCATAGTTTCTAAATTTTAATAAATGAACAGAACAAATACAGACGTAAGCCATAGAAGGAAATTGGCCATTTAAAGTGTAGACAACAATCACTAGGTAGCTCAATTGAACAAGCAAGATTGAGTTTTGATGATATAGAACACACAAATACCACTATGACAAATACCACCATGATCTAGTTTGTGGTTGCACAAAATCATATATTTCAGTAGATTTACATTTATCAACATTTATAAAGTTTTCATGCATATCTTAAATGCAACAGCTTTATACTAATTCATAATTTGAAAAAGGGATTTGGTGAGGTCACATATCTCAAATGAGAATAAAGTTTTTCCATAATACTATTGAGCTCTCCATTTTTCCACAAGGACAAGAAGGTCATATGCTATTAAGCATTATTATAAATCAAGGTAACACAAAACTTCCACACCGAATGTTAAATCCAATTAGGTTATTATGGAAATAAGTAAGTCAGATCATACATTATACACCGTCAGCCGATGAATTACAAAATATGTAAATTCAAATCAATCACAAAACAGGCAACCAGTTAAACTCATATGAGTGTCAAAAGCACAAAAATAACTGAGCTTACCAGGACTAAGACAAAGGAATAGATGGTAAGTCAGATTAGATTTGTCTCTCTTGATGAAACACTGGATGGTTCCATCCCTTGAACCAGGCTGCAAAACAAGAGTCAATAAAAATAAATAAAGAAAAATATGGTCATACACTCTTATACAAAATTCACATCTCTCACTCAAGCATGAACCAATTCTTCAAAATATATCTCGAAGACCAGTTACAAGATAGCAAAAGTCTCACCTGCTTCAGGGAGACTGGGAAAGTAATCTTCCCACAGGACTCGAGACTGGTAACAATTTCTTTGCACATTTCTCTCCAGGACTTGCACACAGCGGCACACGCAACCACATTCTTACGAGCCGGCCATGTACTCTCACTTTCTTCCAATCTTCTAATAACATCATGAAGAAGCTCAGGCGGAAGGCCAGCCCACCGGCTGTTTTGTATTACCGGCGGACGTTCCTGCGCCTCATGGACCGAACTATTTGACCTGCCCCAGTGATGGCTAGGAAGCCTTACCTCAAAACTCCGCCTTGATAGGCTTCCAAATCCATCCCTTACATCACGAACAATACTGCGGAAGGACATCTGCTACTACAAAACACTAACAGCCCGAGAATTTATTGTGATTAACACCACTTATGGAATAATATTTCACACCACTAATCCACCCTAGTTAGAAGATACCACAACTCACAAGTATCTGCAAAACAACAAAACTTTAATTTAAATCCAGCTTCAATGCTTAGTTATCAAGAAACAAAAAGTAACGGAACATGTATAGGGAAAAGCACAAAGAGGAAAAAGGAAGGAAAAAGAAAAAAAAAAAAAAAAAAAAAAAAAAAAAAATCATAAAAAAAAAAAAAAGTGACATAGAGTTGCATAAGAGTCTGTTGGCGGACTCTATATGTCCATTGTTAGCTGTCCACATTGTTGTAGTGACAATACATTAACTTGATCAATAACTTATAAAGTCACCCGTTCGCTTACACATTTTCG